CTGTGTCCCGAGGGGCAAGAGGTCACATGGAGCACAAATTCGGGTAGGACGGAGCCTGTGTGGCCCTCGGAGGACTGAAGAACGAGGGCTGACGGCCAGTCCGGAAGACCGCTTGGCAGCCCTGCTGGCCATGGCTGTTTCTTCTCTCTGCTTCCCACATGCCTCCCCGGTGGCCCTCACCTGCATACCAACCCCTCCATTACTCACCTCGGGGCTGGCATGAACTGCTTCCCTGAGAGGACGTGAGAGGGTGGGGGAGGACCTCGTACCCTCTCCCACCCTGAAGTGTTTGGGCACCAGCGTGGGATGCACATGGATGGGAGAGCAAGGCGCCAGGATGGGCACTGTGCCCTGGGTACAGGCTCTACCTTCCTCCCCCAGGGGCCTGCCTAGTGCCAGTTTGGTGGTCCCCCTTTCTGGCCCCTTGGAGCCCACACACATTGCATCTTTTTCCCCTCTGACAGCAAGAAGAGACATGGCATGCTCTCTGGGACCCTGGAATCCTGGGTGCCTATGTGTGTGCCAGAGCCTGCCCCACCTGGCAGATGTCCCACAGTGACAGAAGGAATCGTAGTTCTCTCTCTTTCCATCAGCCCTACCCTCCCCTCATTCCCCTGACACCCTCTAGCTTGACCAAGGCTGAGCTGCGCCGGCATGCTTGGATGCCCAGCTGTGTCCAGAGGTGGCTTGGGACTGCCAGTTGCACGCCTGCCACCTCAGCCAGCCCCCGCCCAGCTCCCTAGTCTGAATGGAGTTGCCTTAAATTGGCAGGTGGTAGCGCGCTCACTGCCCTTGGAGCTGTGACCCGGCTCCTGCCTGTCCACTCCTTCCCGAGGTGGCTCCTGCTTATCTTATCATCCTAGGGTACTGATTAGCCAGGCCTGGTCAGGATCCTGGGCACAGCACCCAGATATGCAGAGTCACCCTCACACTGGTGTCAGTCTGACCTCAGCTCCCGGAGGCTGGCACAGCCTCCCCATCCCTCCTTTTTGGCCCTGTGGCTCTGTCCACCTGATCCCAATAGCAGCCTCCCCGATCCCCTGCCACCCCAGATGGTGGCCACGACAGGAAGAGGTGTAGATGCCACCGTCTGAGGTAGAGGAACAGGGAACAGGGGCAGGCTCTGACGCTGAGAGGCTTGCCTCCGGGGGCTGGCAGCCTGAGTGGCATGGCTCCTGAAGAAGGCACCCCTCTGTGTCCCCCACGTCTCCTCAGCACTAGGCTGATCTTGAATGGCACAGGCCAAGGGGAGGCCAGCCTCGCCTTTCTATCTAGGCCCCCTACCCTGCCCACCTCAGGCCCCCGCCCTCCACTCCTCCCCATGGTACTGTGAACGTCCTGTGACTCAGCGCAGAGACAGATAATATATTTAATTCATGTTGTACAGAAAGGAATGAGGGGTCTTGTACAGAAAAGCTGATTTTGATAGACTGATGCCAAAGTTGGAGAAGCGAAGGCCCCTCTCCAGGCCTAATGAGTGTGGGTGGGGCGTGCTTGAGTGTATGCGTGTGTGTACATATATATACATATATATATTTAGTGAGAAGAGAGTTTGGTTTGTGTGTATCTCTGATCTCCCTCGCACCCCAGGCTGTATCCAGCATCCGTCCTGCTGTATCCTGGGTACTGCTGTTTTGACCTAGAAGTTGGCTCTTGCTGAGGAGCATCAATGGTGTTTGTGGGTGGGCAGAGGAACCCCAGGCCTGGGATTGACCCAAGTTGGTGCCTGTGGGGTGGGGCTAGCCAGGAGAGCAAAGAGGGACTCCTGGGCGGGGGTCTGGGGTCTGGCCATGCAGCTGATACCTGGGCACCGAATGGCCCCGTGGCTTCTGGGGAGGGAGGGAGGCAAGATCAAGGTGGGGTTGACATGGAGTTCGCCAAGGCCGGCACAGCAGGATGAGGGTGTGGGCCTTGCTGTAATTCAGGCCCTTCGAGAATTGCTGCAGGCCTGCAATCCACCTCCTGCTGCTGCCCTGACCACCTCCCTGCCTTGGATCTAGACACAACCCCCCATCACACACAGGTCCCAAAGTGCTCAGAATCCTGCTGTTGTCCAATTCAGCATCCAGGCTTATTCCTCCCGAGACCACTTGGAGAATGCCAGGTCCCAAACCCTGCCCCCGACCTATTCTCATGCCTGGCCTTAAGCACTCTGCAGTTCGCCGGCATGGTTTGCAGTTACTGGAGAGGGTGTCTGCCTTCCAGAGGAGGAGGCCAATGCTGAGGCTGATGCTGCCCTCCAAGGCTCTAGAAATAAGGGGTGGGCCAGAGCTCCATTCTCAGCCCATCACCAGTTCTACCGAGCAAGACCTCCTCTCTGCTGTAGGCAGCCAGACACCAAAGCAGGATCGCAACTCAGACAATTAGTGCTTGAAGGGAGGAGAGGGACTGGGAAATGCATTGGTGGGAATTGGAAGCCAGACATTTATTAAGCTCCCTGCTGGATGCCAGGCAGCCCTGTGCCCAGGCATTGTCTCACTGAACCACAGCAACCCCCTTTCTCCCCACTTTGCAGATGAGGACATGATCCTCCCAGGGGTTGCCTGGGGTCACATACCAAATTAGAATCCCAGGTGTCTGCCCCCCAGTCCTGCTCCCCCAGTCTTCAGGGAGTGGGAGGCGTGGGGAGGGCGAGGTGGAGACAGTGTAGAGGCCCGAGAGGGAGGAAAACACACAGGAAGGGCATGGGCAGATGCTGCTTTGAGGAGCACCTTGCAAGGCCACCCTTGTGGCAGGCAGAGGTGGCCCGGCCTGGCTCCTGCATCTTGAGGAGTCTCTGGGGGGAGCTGTCCTTGCTGCTGCAGCTTGGCCCTGCTGGGAGGCACACACCTAGGGCTTCTGACATCGGGCCCTCCGAGCCACTGCCCTAGAAAACTATCAGGGCTGGGGGTGCGGGCCAGCCTAGGGGTGTGGGACTCAGCTGGACAGGCTCACACCAGGCCTTGAATATGGTTGGTACTCAAAAAGTGACGGCTCCGGAGAAGGGACCTGAGTGTGAAGAGGGGCTGAGTGATTTTGGTCATGAGCTGCCACTGGGCTCCCAGGGATCAGGCTGAGCTACAGCGCAACCTAACGTTTCCTGGGAGCCCTCGGTTTCCTGGGCACCCCTGCAATCATTTCCTTATGCCGGTGACTCAAAAATAGGAGCCAGCCCCATTCTGCTGGAATCCCTGACCCAAAGCAGGCTTTTGCAAGTCATTTCCCCCTCTGGCCTCACTTTTGCCATCTGCCTGCTTCTGGGACAGGTCAGGAACATCCAGGGTGCAGATGCCTTCCCCTCCACTATGGCCACGGGGCAGGGGCATTTGAGATTTGCAGCAGCCCTGCAGCTTCAGACAAAAGGTCCTATTTGATGACGTCTACAGGGTGGGGGTGATATCAGCTCCCGTGCTTGGCACTGCCCACATCATCTTGAACCCCGGTAGAACCTGGAGTTGGCTCTCCTCTGCCCGCCGTCCTGTGGGCTCCCAATCACCCTGCCCTACTGTTTGGGTCCAGTGGTCAGGGATGATATATAATAGGCCACCACTCCTCTACCATGCTAGGCTCCCTGAACCAGCCAAGTGTCAGGCGCTGTTGCATGCCTGCCCCTTCCCTCCCTCCTTGAAACATCCCAGCCTCCTTTGGGCCATCTCTCCACCTCTATCTCTGCTTGGACCCTTGTTTCTGGCTGTGACACTTTACAGAAACCCCATGAGCCCCTGTATCTCTAGAGCGAATCATCAGCCCCATGAATTGGCCACAGCCTCCTCTATGTCTGGCCCTGTGCTGGACATTAGGACACCAAGATGCATGACATTCCACCCCTGCCTTCCAGAAGCTCAGACCTGCTGGCAGAGATGGCCTTGATTTCAACAGATTTTATCAAGAACCCACTGTCCACCTGGCGCTCTGCTAGGCACTGAGGATGCACCCATGAACAAGATGGCCAAACCCTATTCTTATAGAGCTTATGTGCTAGTGGAAGGTATAAGACGTTATCCAAATAAACAGGCATGTCAAGGGGTCATAAGTGTGATGAGACAAAATAAGGCAGGGGCAGGGTGGTGGCAGGGGAGAGGAATGTGATGGCATAGGGTGGGGCACTGCCTGGTCAGGGATGGACCTCTCCATCAGAAGTAAGCTATGGGCTGGGGGTGGCGGCTCACATCTGTAATTCTGGCACTTTGGGATGGCAAGGCAGGCAGATTGCTTGAGCTCAGGAGTTTGAGATCAGCCTAGGCAACATAGTGAGACCCCGTCTCTATAATAAATAAAAAAAAAAATAATTAGCTGGGTGTGGTGGCTGATGCCTGTAGTCTCAGCTACTCAGGAGGCTGAGGTAGGAGGATCACCTAAGCCCAGATCGAGGCCGCAGTGAACAGTGATCATGCCACTACCATCCAGCCTGGGCAATGGAGTGAGACCCTGTATCAAAAAAAAAAAAAAAAGTGAGCTATGTTGTGTAAGGGGGCCAGGTGGACAGCCAGGGTCAGAGTGTTTCAACAAAAGCCCTGAGGGGACCATGCTTGAGAATGAGCCCGGCAGCATGGCAGGAGGGCTGGATCACATGGGACGGTGACTCTGCCCATTAGATCCACTGGGGAAGTGTTTAAGATACATTGCCATCCGGCCCCAGCTCAGATTGATTCAGGTGCCCCAACATGTAGCCAGGGTTGAGAACCGCTCACTCAGGTGGGCTGTGGTAGGGGTTCTGGATTTTATTCTGAGATGGGAAGCCACTGGCCTCTGTTTTTGAAGGCTCAGAGAGTCAAATAGGAGGTGTCAGCCCCTATGACGAGGGTGTCAGGGCGGGGAGAGGAAGGATCCCCCAGGCGGTGGTAGAGCAGCAGCAGGTGCCATGGGAAGGGAGAAGGGAAGTACCTGCTCTCCTGTGTTGCTGTGAGAGGAACTGTCATCCTAACCCCAGGGAGGGCCACAGGGGCTCTAGCATTAGGTAACCTGCGTGGCCGCACAGGGAGTAAGGTGGACTGTTAGAATTCCAACCCAGGGCTGCCTACCTGAGCAGCTGCCTCCCGGCAGGTGTAGCCTCTGACATGGACACTCCACCTCACTCGTTTGAATGGAGGATGGGTGTCTGGTTTCCAGGGACTAGGAAATCCTTGCCTTCTGGTCACCTAAAAGCACTGTATGACAGGCGGCCAGTAGGTACCTGGGGGTTGGGCAAAAGTCACTATCCCCCACCCCACCAGGTGCCCCCTGCCATCACTCAGCCCCTCTTCTGGACCCTCAGAACTTCCCACCATTTGCCAACTAAAGGCATCATTGGGCACCGGGGCTCTGCTCCCACCCCAGCTGTGGCGGCCGGGTGGCTGGCATCATTGCTGATGGTCAGTGCCCAGACTCTAGCCGAGTGTGTGCCAATTCTCCTACACAGGATGGCGGGGCCAAGGGCAGCTCTGATGAGATGGCAGATGCCACTTGGCCACTCCTACTTCCTCCCTTGTTTTCTCCCCTCCCTTCTCCTGCTTCTTTTTCCTTCTCTCAGTGCCCCTTGGGGCACTAGGTATTACTCAGTGGGTGCCCAGAGTAACAATAATCTGACGCAGCCTCTTTTCTAAGGAAGAAGGAGATGTTGCAGCCTCCCTCTTCAATCAACCCAAGCCTCCAGTCCCTGACACATGATCTGAAAGCCAAGCATCAACCCTTGCTCCTGCACCCCCAGGTCCTTCCCATTGATGTAACGCAAAGATGGAGAGCCGTGGCATGGACAGGGCGTGGCAGGGAGGATCACGGCTGCCCTCCTGCATGAGGTCAGCACTCCAGCTTGCCCCTTTCTGGGCTAGAAGCTTCTAGCCCAGTTCCTTATCTTCCTGTCTCTGCCAGAGCTCTTCCCTCCTTAATTCACTCATTATCCATCAGATGGTTTCAGACTCTGTGCCAGGCTCTGTTTTCAGTACCCAGGATACAAACTTGACCCTGACTTAGACCCCACTCCCAGGAGCTCAGCGTCTCAGAGGCGGCTAGGATGTAATCTTTTCTTCCTCTCAGCTTCTTAAGATCTCAGCTACTTGGGAGAAAGACAGTTGTCCATTAGTCATTCTATTAAAATTTGCCAAGGGTTTTTTTTTTTTTTTTTATTTCAAGAACAATAAAAATGTTTAATGCCCTCGTGTTTTCCCTGGAGGAGTGATTGACTAAGTCCTAGGTTCCTGGGGAGAAGGAATCTTGCACAACCAGGGAAATAACACAGAGGCTCCAAAATCACACACACTTGGATTCAAATCCAAACTCTATGGCTTGCAAGCTGTAGAGAATGCTTGGGAATGTTCCTTAACTGTTCCATGCCTCAGTTTTCCTCTCTGTAAAATGGAGATAGTGATAACGCCTATTTCACAAGGTCGTGAGGATTTAAGAATGAATATTTAGGCCAGGCCTCGTGGTTCACGCCTGTAATCCCAGCACTTTGGGAGGCTGAGGCAGGTGGATCACTTGAGACCGGGAGTTCGAGACTAACCTGGCCAACAAGGTGAAGCCCCGTCTTTACTAAAAATACAAAAATTATCCAGGCGTGGTGGTGCATGCCTGTAATCCCAGCTACTTGGGAGGCTGAGACAAGAGAATCGTTTGAATCCAGGAGGTGGAGGTTGCAGTGAGCCAAGATCACGCCACTACACTCCAGCCTAGGCGACAGAGTGAGACCTTATCTAAAAAATAAATAAATAAATAAAAATAAATTTTAAAAAGGCCCAGAGTGCTGGACTAGTGGAGCTTCACATCCTCACTCTGCACACCCCCACCCACTTCTCCATCAGCAGGAATTCCAGCTCCCTCCCTCCCCAGGGATCACAGTCCTGGAAGTAAAATGGAAGATCATATGCTTTTTTTTTTTTTTTTTTGCATTCTTCACTCTTGATAAGATCTCAATCAGCAAGAATGTATAAAGAACATCCTACTTAAAAGATTTTGCGAGACTCTTAAAAAGATGACCTCAGCCCAGAGTTTTGTTTCCGTGGCAGCTTTGAATGTAGCTGGGGAAGTAAACATGGAAAGAGAATTTATGATAAAAGGCATTGTTGGGTCAGGTGTCACTCACAGTGGATCCGCTGCCTTTTGAGGTAGTAAGCACTTTGTCCCCCAGACTGGGAAACCACTTGGGAATTCCAGGGGCACCACTGCCTGTGGTGCACCTTGCCAGCTTCCTGAGGAGGCAGCAGCAGATCTGCACCTGGCCTGACCCTATACGTTGCATCTCTCTTTTTTGCTGTGCAGAGTAGCAAGGTGTAACTGGCAGATGAGATACAGTCCTCAGAGAAGCCAGAGGAATGTTGCAAAGCATGATTCTGGGCTTGCAAACATCCTTCTCCTTGGATTCCAGAATGCCAGGGGCATCTTCTCAGCCCTGTCACTGGCTTTGAGGCCAGACTTGGCCTTTCAGGACCTAGGACTGATTCTGGGGTATGGGAATGAACTAATCTAGGACTTTTTTTTTTTTTTTTTTGAGACAGAGTCTCACTCTGTTGCCTAGCCTGGAGTGTAATGGCACGAGCTTGGCTCACTACAACCTCCACCTTCTGGGTTCAAGCGATTCTCATGCCTCAACCTCCCAAGAAACTGGGATTACAGGCATGTGCCACCACGCCCAGTTAATTTTTGTATCTTTAGTAGAGATGGGGTTTCACCATGTTGGCCAGGTTGGTCTTGAACTCCTGGCCTCAAGTGTTCCGCCTGCCTCGGCCTCCCAAAGTGCTGGGATTACAGGCATAAGCCACCACACCCAGCCCTTAATCTGGGATTCTTAAAGCCGGAGTTGATGACGGTAGGAGGGCCACCTCGGGGAAGAGGGGATGGGGCCAGGGGTTAGGGCTCAGTACTATTCCCTGCCTTGGGCAAGTGCCTCAAGTGGCTGCCTTCAGCCTCCTGTGATTCCACACCACCCACCAAGTGTTCTACTTGGTAATGGAATTTACTGCCCAGCTTCTCTATAGAAGTGGAGGAGTGGGGGGTGGGGTGAGGTTGAGATTTACAAGCAATAGAGGCAGTGCTGTGCCTGGCTGCCTCAACCTGAGTCCTGACACCACCACATCCTAGTTGTATGACCTTAGCCACATAGCATGGCTTCTCTCTGCCTCAGTTTCCCCATCTGAAAAGTGGGCTGATCATAGAATGCACGTGGATTAAATGAATTAGTACATGAAAAGCCTGCAGAATTTACTGGTCATATAGAAAGCACTACACAGTGTAAGCCGTTGTTATGTCATCTTTCTCCTGAGGGTAGAAACAGGCATCACCTGCCTCCTCTGTTTCACTGTGAGGGCTGTGACCAGGAGCCAAAGGTTTCCTTTTTGTTTGTTTGTTTTTGGAAAGGAGTCTCACTCTGTTGCCCAGGCTGGAGTGCAGTGGCACAATCTTGACTCACTGCAACCTCCACCTCCTGGGTTCAAGGAGTTCTCCTGCCTCAGCCTCCCGAGTAGCTGGGACTACAGGCCTGTACCACCACGCCAAGCTAATTTTTGTATTTTTTAGTAGAGACAGGGTTTCACCATGTTGGACAGGCTGGTCTCAAACTCCTGACCTTGTGATCCGCCTGCCTCAGCCTCCCGAAGTGCTGAGATTAGAGGCGTGAGCCATCGAGCCTGGCCCAAAGGTTTCTTACTAAAAGGAGGAAGGGTTCCGTGGGGCACACAACTGCATAAAACCCTTTCTATCTGTGGAGAACTACCTGTCCTCCTAAAATGGCATTAGAGTTTGGGAATTCTGATGTCACTTATTCTAACAGATATAGAGGTTAGGCAAAGGGCTATGAACTTAACAAACATTACCTAAATTTTAAAGCTTTTAAAAATTTAATAGACACTTACGCCTGTAATTCCAGCACTTTGAGAGGCTGAGGCTGGTGGATCACCTGAGGTCAGGAGTTCAAGACCAGTTGTCCAACATGGTAAAACCCTGTCTCTACTAAAATTACAAAAATTAGCCAGGCATGGTGGTGGGCACCTGTAATCCCAGCTACTCAGGGGGCTGAAGCACGAGAATTGCTTGAACCTGGGAGGCGGAGGGTGCAGTGAGCTGAGATAGTGCCACTGCCCTCCAGCCTGGGCAACAGAGTGAGACGGTCTCAAAAAAAAAAAAAAGAAAAATATCTCCTTGGGTCAGGTCCAGTGACTCACACCTGTAATCCCAGTGATTCGATTCGAGAAGCTAAAGCAGGAGGACTGCTTGAGGCAAGGCATTTGAGACCAGGCTGGGCAATATAGCCAGATCTCGTTTCTACAGAATATTTGAAGAGTAGCCAGGCATGGTGGTGCATGCCTGTAGTCCTTGCTACTCTGGAAGTTGAGGCAGGAGGAGAGCTTGAGCCCAGGAGTTTGGGCTGCAGTTAGCTCTGATCACACGACTGCACTCTAGCCTGGGCGACAGAGCAAGACCTTGTCTCAAAAAAAAAAAAGTCTTCTTGGCCTAGACCCCTCTGTGAAACACTGGAGATTCAGAAATAAATAAACAGTGTTATATCCTCAAGGAATTCACAGCCTGGTAAAGGAAAGAGGTCAGTTGCAGAAATAACAATGGCTTTGAAGTGGGGTCTGGTATCTGCATTTCGTAGATGTGGTAGGAATTATCCCAGAGATTGTAAACAGCTGCCCAGATGACTTGCTCCTTCCACCTCCCTGCCCTGCCTTCCTCAGCCCCTGCAGTACCTACCTGGCTTGCAAGTCTTGTAAACTGAGTTGGGCCTCCTTGCTAGGTTCATAGTTGTGAATGTAATGTAAACAGGAAGTGTCTGCTGCCTTAGGAACCTGCTGGAATCCACTCTTGCCCGGCCAGCTCTCTCCCTTCCCTTCCATGCAGCAGCGGGCACCTCGGGGCCACCCTCCTGCCTTGAGCTCAGACTTCAGACTTGAGTGCCGTTTGCAGTCACAGCTGCAGCCAATCGTTTCCAAGGTGTTTCCAAACTCTGCTCCCCAACCTCCACTCCTAGGTGTTACTGGGCTGCAGAGGGGCTCCAGAGAGGCTTCAGGACATCCCATTGACTGTCCCACTGTCACCACTAAGGGCTATGCCTCCTCCCCAGCAAGGTGCCTAAGCCCCTTGTACCCTGGCCCTGGGTTCTCTGCAGACTCTTCAATCTTGCTACTAGACCAAGAACCCACTTTCCCCTTGGGCACCTCCTCCCTGAAGCCCTTGTGCCTGCATCTGTCCACATTCCCTCTGTTTGGACTTCCTTCCTTCCAGTTCCCTGCAGTACCAGTTCCAGTTCAGTCACTGGGCCTTTGGCAAAAATCTCTCACCTGGCTGAGACCGTAGTTCTCTGTCCCTACAATGAAGGTGGGCCCTGGATGCCCTCAGAGTCTCATTCTTGCTCCTGGATTTTACATAAACCTGTCTGCTGTCACTTTTGTGTTTTGTATTCCCCACTCTTCTTCTTTCAGACATGCTTCAAACTCCCCTCCTCCAGGAAGCCTTCTTTGATCAGCCCTGTGAATACTCCTGTGTGTGCCCAGTTCTGCTGGTAGCCAGGGGGCCTATGCTAATGCTGGTGCCAAGGGACCTTAGCTCCCTCATAACCTCCACTGCCTGAAAGGACACCTGAATACCCACAACCAAAGTAAAAGCAGAGCTTAGTATAGAAACAGTGACCACTTCTCAGCAAGTCCCCCAAGCATTCTCCCAACCCCCAACCAGACCTACCCCAAGCCAGATAGTCTAGAAATTCTAGCCATCTACAGTCTACACTATTTGTTTTGCTTTGTTTTGGAGATGGAGCCTTGCTGTGTCACCCAGGCTGGAGTGCAGTGGTGCTATTTCTGCTGACTGCAACCTCCAACTCTCAGATTGAAGCAATTCTTCTGCTTCAGCCTCCCGAGTAGCTGGGACTACAGGCACATGCCACCAGGCCTGGCCAACTTTTTGTGTTTTAGTAGAGACCAGGTTTCACCATGTTGCCCAGGCTGGTTTTGAATTCCTGAGCTCAAGCAATCTGCCTGCCTCGATTTCCCAAAGTGCTAGGATTACAGGCATGAGCCACCACACCCAGCCTAGTCCATACTCTTGTATCTAGGCTTTCAGAGTCTAAGTCTTTTTCTCGTGTTTATGTTGTAAGCTGCCTGGGTTGAAAAGGACCATGCCTTCTAATTCCTGGCTATGACCTGCCCCAGGGGCTTAGTCAGGGTAATGACACCACTTGGTGGCCAAGTAATTTTTAAAATAATAATAATTATTATTTTTTTTTTGTTTTTTATTTATTTTTTGAGACAGTTTCACTCTTGTTGCCTAGGCTGGAGTGCAATGGCATGATCTCAGCTCACTGTAAACTCCGCTTCTCAGGTTCATGCGATTATCCTGCCTCAGCCTCCCAAGTAGCTGGGATTACAGGCGCATGTCACTATGCCTGGCTAATTTTGCATTTTTAGTAGAAACGGGATTTCACCATGTTGGTCAGCCTGGTCTCGAACTCCCGACCCCGTGATCCACTCGCCTTGGCCTCCCAACGTGCTGGGATTACAGGCGTGAGCCACTGCACCTGGCCAATTTATTAATAATTATGAAGGTGCTTTCACAGCCAGCGTTCCATGTTGCCTCACCTTCTGTGAGGGAGACAGAGCATGCACGATTTCCCCACTTCAGTGGATGAGGAAACCGAGGCTCTGGGAGGTTGAACTCCTTGCATACGGTTGATTAAGTGGCAACGGTTGGCCTCCAACAAGGCACACCCCTGCCCAAACGCTGTGCACCATAGGTCAGTGACTTTGAACTGCTTTGTTTCCCAGCTCAGGTTTTAATCCGTTCCGTGTCAGGCCATAAGCAGTAGCCCCGGGGCTGGCAGGAGAGCCAGAATAAGCAGATTTGGCTTCTAATCTGACTCACCCAACTGGTTCAGAATGCAGCCAAATGGGGGAAATTTTGGTGATTTCCTTTCCCCATTTGCTCTCACAGTTGCCCTCTAGCCCCTCTCTGCACTCTTCCTCCCACCCCAAAGCTCTGGGAATGTATGGGGGGGTGGGGCGTCGGGGAGGCGCGTTCCTAGGAGGATGTGAGCCCATGGATGGGTGGGGGGTGTTTTTCTCCTCCTCATTGTTCTCCCATGCCCATTGTCTGTGCTGTGAGCAGGACGTCATCAAGTCGCCTGGCAGGCTCTCAGCAGAGCTGGGGAATGTTTCCGGAGCGGACTCACCCGTTATGAATGGCTGAAACTTTTTAAAAGCTCTGACATTTCTTTGGATGGCCAGACTGGGAGAGCCAAAGAGAAGGAAGGTCTTGGAGACTCCTGGCTTTGACGCTAAAGGTCTCAGGGACCTTGGCAGACCCATGATTTGCCAAGAGGGCCTTTCAGACTGGGCCTGCTTCCCAGTGAGGGATTTGGAAATATCACGTGGAGAGGAAATGGGGGGGGGTGCAGGGGGGTGGATGGAGGGCTCAGCTGGAGGTGTGGAGAGAGTCAAAATTGTATTATGTTTTGTTTACAATGCATGACCCCAACATGGGACTTGGGATGGCTGACACCTGAGTATGGGAAAGGACCTAGTCACCTTTGAAAGCTTCACTGAGCTCCCCCCAGAGGAAATGGAAAGTCGGAATTGTTTTGAAGCAGGTCAGTGTTTGCCAGTGGGTGAGTAATGCTCAGCGCTCCCAGAGAAAGTATTCCTCTCTGCATCCATCTCTTTACCACTAGGCTGGGAGTGCCGCCTCTCTGAGGTGTCCCATGCTTTGCGTACATTTCCTCATGGTTTCATTGGTCTCGTGAGGATCAGCTTGCAGCAAGACCAATAAGCATGTGTAGTAACCCATTTCTTATAGATGAGGAAGCTGAGTTTCACAGAGGCTGAGATTGCACACAGCTACTTTGCCGCAGAGCTGGGACCGGAACCCAGGTCTGTGACACTCCAAAGTCCATGTTTTACGACAGAATTTCTCAAGCATTCGTGTGCATAAGGAATGACTGGGGTGCCGGCTGAGAGTGCAGATTTCTGGGCCCTGTCCCCTCCTCTTCCTAATTCAGCAAATCAGAGTTAGGGGCAGGAATCTGTACGTTTGACAAATAACAGGTGATTGGGAACGGTTGGGGCATTGCCTTGGGGCTCTTTTTTATGATTTCAGCCAAGACAGCAGCAACCTGGTCTGAAAACACAGGCGCAGCCCAGGGCCCTCTCCCCTCACTCCACCTTCACCTCCAGAGTGAAACACAGGAGAAGCAGCCCAGTCTCTCAGAAGGCAAAAGGACCCATCTTCAGCCTAGAAAATCTCCCATTGCACTTTATAACATTTTCAACCCTCAAAAGAGAAAGCTGAACCCCACAATCAGGAACATTTACCCATCCCTCAGATGTTTCTGGGCCCCCTGCCACGAGTGAGGGACTGGGACAGATACTGCTCAGATGGGTGTAAAGCAGGTTTCTCAGAGATGGGTGCATCAGGATCCTACTGCTTCAGAATTATCTGAGGGTTTGCTAAGAATTCAGAGTCTTACCCCAGACCTCCAAAGTCCAAATCCCTGGGGGATGAACTCTGTGAATCTGCATTTTAAATTCTCTCCTCAAGCAATTCTATAGCAAGTAGGAGTTTGGCAAGTGGTTTCCTGAGAGTCTGGGAAGGAAAGGAACTGGGAACATTGTAGCTTAGGGTCTTGTGGGTTAAAGACCACGGTAAAACACCCAAACTACATATGTCAGCCAGGAATGCCTGGGATGTAGCTGTGGATTTGTGGGAGAGCCGCACGTGGCATGTGGAGTTCTGGGTTTGAATCCTGGCTGGGCTACTCTGGGATTCTGGGCCAGTGACTTAACCTCGCAGAACTCAATTCCTCACATGCCATGTAGGATACTCTAGTCCACCCCCCAGCATTGCCATGAAGACCCAGTGAGCCTGCCGCAGCTCCGAATGAACAGCGCAGGGCTGTGCTGGACGGGGCTCATTCTGCGTGACACCGCTCTAGACAATGCCTTCCTTCAGTGGGCTCCCAGCAGCCTTGAGCTGGAGCTGATCCACTTCACTCTGCTGGGGAGCCAAGGGGTGGGTGGGAATGGCTGGTTAGAGTTCAAAATCAGACTCTGGACACATGGGGTGGCCCAGGGTACCCAAAGAGGGTCAGGGGTCAAAATGTGCCTCACAAGCCCCTGAAGAAGATAGTATAACCCTGGCAGGATAGCCTCGTGGTTAAGGGCATAGGCTCTAGAGCCAGAGGGTTCAAATCCTGGCTGGACTATTTGTTAGCTGAGTGACCTTGGGCCACTTACTTCACCTCTCTGTGCCTCAGTTTCCTTATGTGTAATATGGAGATATAAAAACATACCCACTTCCCTGACACAGGGGAAAAGCCCTCAAAACCTGTCATATGTATTAAGTATCTAGTAAATATTAACTATTATTGATTATTAATGGAAGGATTTTGTGCACGGAGACTTTTTTTTTTTTTTTGAGACAGAATCTCACTCTGTCACCCAGGCTGGAGTGCAGTGGCATCATCTCGGCTCACTGCAACCTCTGCCTCCTGGGTTCAAGAGATTCTCTTGCCTCAGCCTCCCAAGTAGCTGGGACTACAGACATGTGCCACTATGCCCAGCTAATTTTTGCTTTTTTTCAGTAGAAACAGGGTTTCACCATATTGGACAGGCTGGTCTTGAACTCTTGACCTCATGATCTGCCAGCCTCGGTCTCCCAAAGTGCTGCGATTACAAGCATGAGCCACTGTGCCTGGCCGGGGACTCTTTTAATAGTTGACTTCATAGTTGTCTATGTCTGTGCAGGGCTGCGTGCCCTCCACGTCCAGGTTTCTCCCTGGCTACCCTAATCTGGAGATGATACCAAAAATGGAGCCAGATGTCCAAGTCTTCCAACTGGGATTTATCCTCTTGGTAAATCTCCTAGGATATGAGGATAAGGATGAAAGCAACGGCAGCTGGATTAAGAAGCATCTGTATTAGTACCTCTTAAACCAAGGCTTAAGAGAAAGCACAGATGGACGTAAAAGGAATTCAACACCTGCCCTTCTCTGTTTGTTTTTTTTCTGAGACAGAGCCTCACCGTGTTGCCCAGGCTGGAGTGCAGTGGTGAATCCCGGCTCACTGCAGCTTTGACATCCCGGGCTCAAGCCATCCTCCCACCTCAGCCTCCTGAGTAGTTACAACTACGGGTGTGCCCCAGCATGCCTGGCTAATTATTTGATTACTTGTAGAGACAGGGTCTTGATATATTGCTCAGGCTACTCTCTAACTCCCACTTCCGCCTCCCACAGTGCTGGGGTTACAGGTGTGAGCCACTGCACACGGCCTGCTCTTCTCTTCCATTTCCTTTAGGTTCAGCCAGGCATGGTGGCTCATGCCTGTAATCCCAGCACTTTAGGAGGCTGAGGCGAATGGAACACTTGAGGTCAGGAGTTTGAGACCAGCCTGGCCAACATGGTGAAACCTTGTCTCTACCAAAAATACAAAAATTAGCTGAGCATGGTGATGCACACCTGTAATCCCAGCTACTCGGGAGGCTGAGGCAGGAGAATCACTTGAACTCAGGAAGTGGAGGTTACAGTGAGCCAAGATCACACCACTGCACTCCAGCCTGGGTGACAGAGCAAGACTCCATCTTAAAAAAAAAAAAAAAAGGTTCAACTTTTATGTGGACTTGGGGGCAGGGCTTGGCTAAGAGACAAAGCAGTCTGTGAATTATTGGATCTTTGTACGCTGAGAAACTGGGAAGGAATGGGACTCTCTACCAGCTCCACTTTTCTTCATGAATCTGCTAACAGGCAAGGAACCATCTCAAATGCTCTAAGAGGAAAGGAGACAGATTGGAGTTGGGCTCTGCTTCAGTCACTCCCCTGCTCCTGTCTCCTCCCCTCCTGCCCAATTTTCTTCTGGACAGGGGCAGGCAAGAAGACTTGGAAGCTTCCCAGGAGGGAGTGTGTAAGTGTCAGGACAAATGTGTTACCTGGGCTCCCAGCCCCACTTTCACCAGGATGACTGACTGGATGTGAGAAAAAGCCCTCCTCTTGCCCCTCTCCTGAGGCCAATCAGCTGTCTCCAAGAGCCCCTTCTCCTCCAGCTAGACCCCTGGGGGTTGGTCGGTATCCATCCTTGGTTTGGAAGATGCCGCTCTGTCTGAAGGATGCTGCCAAGTCGAGGGCCCCCCCAGTGGGGAGCAAGCACTGCTGCAGGTCTGGCAGAACACCCTGGAAACGGTGATGCACCGAAAGGAGACACCGCGGTGAAGAGAGGACTGTGGCCAACTGGGACTCTCGTAACCCAGCCATCTCACAGAAGGTGGAGGGAGCAAGAAGCGCTTGTGGTCTTTCAGCCTGCACTTGCCAATACTTGGCAAGGCAGGGGCCATTGTCAAGGCAGGGGCCAGCCCACGTAGCACAGGGACAAGAAAACAAGGTCCCCACCCACCAGGAATCCAGCCCAGTGGGAAACAGCTGGCTACCTTGTCACAAAGGAGGGAGCCACTGATTCTGTCTGGAAGGGGGTGACACATGAGCTGCACAGTGGAGGCTGGGTTGCATTTCTGCAGAACAGGGGAGAACAGCTAAGGGGCCATGTTCAGAAACCACCAATCCAGCTGTGCGGGGGGAGGATGGGAAATGGTACAGGAGGAGAATGGAAATGCATTGAAGACGCAGAACTTGGTCCTGTGCACCATGTAGGGGAGGGCAGCATCCATTATTTTCTTACCGATTATTAGAGTTGATATGTTTATCAGAAAAAAGTGAGAGAAAAACAGAAAAAAGGATAAAGAAGAAAATTAAAATCACTCATGTGCCAACTACCTATAAATAACCACTGTTAGTTAATATTTTAACGCTTTTGTAAACCAAGATGTTTCTGAAGCAAGTGCCAATTAATTTAGAGGTTTATTTTGCCAAGGTTAAGGATGCACGCCCAGGAGACAGGTCTGTGCCTGTCTTCAAAGATGATTTTGAGGGCTTCAGTATTTAAAGAAGAAAGGGTGGATGTTGTTGAAAGAGGAAGAAATTTTTAAAAGGCATGGGTAGATGAGAGGCAAATGGTTCCATTCTTTTGAGTCTTTGATCAGCCCTTCACATGTGAGAGGTGGGTAGAGGACTAGTCACCTATGCATTCATCTAGCCCAGTGAATCTGCATTTTTACATATGATAAAATAAACACAGGGGCCAGCACGGTGATTCAAGCCTGTAATCCTAGCACTTTGGGAGGCCAAGGCAGGTGGATCACTTGAGCTCAGGAGTTCAAGACCAGCCTGGGCAACATGGCAAAACCTAATTTCTGCAAAAGCTACAAAAATTAGCTGGGCATAATGGCGCATGCCTGTGGTCCCAACTACTTGGGAGGCTGAGGTGGGAGGATCACTTGAGCCCTGGGAGGTGGAAGCTGCAGTGTGCTGTGATCATGCCAACACACTCCAGCCAGGGTGACAGAGTAGAATCCTGTCTCAAATAAATAAATAACATAGCATAACATAACATAACATAGCAAACATAGGACAGAAGCAGCAATCAGATACGCGTTTGTTTCAGGTGAGCAGACGGTTGTCTTTGTGTTCTGTCCTTTGTCCTTATCTGTGAAAGGTGAAATTCAGCAGAAATGTTTTCAAGATCTTGGGACCCACAAGCAATATCGTAGTGGGCAAACTGTGAGAGAGGTATATAGCTTCATTTTCTTCTTTTTTTTTTTAGATCTTTGTAGCTATTTTATTTAGCAATAAAATGGGAGGCAGGCTTGCCTGACATGGCTCGTAGCTTGACTTTTCCCTTTGGCTTAGTGACTTTGGGGTCCTGAGATTTATTTTCCTTTCACACTTTCAGATTCTTTTATAAAGAAACCATTAAAAAATGTATGTATTATAGATATAATATGCAAACATAGTAATATTGCAAAATGCACATTTCGTATTTTAAAAGTACATTAGGATATGATATATTCTGAATTCAGAGTATGTATAGATTACACACAAATTATTTTAGAGTAATTTAGTATGTGTATACTTTTTAAAAATAACTAAATTTACATAATATAAAGGGAGAGTTTTATATTTTACTTACTTATTTAAAAGAAAACACATTCATGTCTTCCATAATTGAAAAGGTACAAGAGTGTACATAGTGAAAATGTCAGGTTGGGCATAGTTGCTCATGCTTATAATCCCAGCTGAGGTGGGAGGATTGCTTGAGGCCAGAAGTTTGACACCAGCCTGGGCAACATAGCAAGACTCCATCTCTGCAAAAAATGTATTAAGATAAATAAATAAATAAATGAAAATGTCTCTTTCACCTCATGCCCCAATCTGTTTCCCCTACTTGGACTTGGTGGTGGTGTAACCTTACCGGAATTTTATACACAGACAAAAAGTTAAACATATTATTTTCTCCCTCTTTTACACAATTATTACACGTATTAGCCACTTATTCTGCATCAGTTTTTACTTAATCTTAAATATTATTTCCTGTCTGTAGGTAAAGAATTTTGTCTGGCGGGTGTGGTGGCTCACTCCTGTAAACCCAGCACTTTTGGAAGTCAAGGCGGGCAGATCACCTGAGGTCAGGAGTTCGAGACTAGCTTGACCAACATGGCAAAACCCCATCTTTACTAAAACTACAAAAATTATCTGGGTATGGTGGTGTGACCTGTAATCCCAGCTACTTGGGAAGCTGACGCATGAGAATCACTTGAACCTGGGAGGGAGAGGTTGCAGTGAGCCGAGATCGTGCCATTTCACTCCAGCCTGGGTGACAAAGTAAGACTGTCTCAAAAAAGAAAAAAAAAAAAAAGAATTTTCTCATATTTATGACTACATAGTATTCCGTAATACGGATATATTCTATTTCATTTAACAAATCTCTACACATATTCATTTAGAGTGTCTATAATTTTGTGTTTTTTTTGAGACAGGGTCTTGCTCTGTCAGCCAGGCTGGAGTGCAGTGGCAAGATCACAGCTCACTGCAGCCTCAAACTCCCAGGCCGAAGCCATGCTCCCACCTCACCCTCAAGGGACTACAGGCACACACTCCCACGCCTGGTAAATTTTTAAATTTTTTGTAGAGACAAGGGTCTTGCTATGTTGCCCAGGTTGGTCTCAAATGCCTGGACTCAAGCAATCCTCCTGCCTTGGCCTCCCAGAGTGTTTGTTAGAATTACAGGTGTGAGCCACCACACCCAGTCTATAATCCTGTGCTTGTATAAACAGTACTACAATAAATAACTTGGTACATATGTCATGTTTTACATGGACAACTCGGTATGCAGGATAACTTCCTGGAAGTGAAATTGCAGGTCAAAGGGCAGGTGCAATTACAATTTTGATGGATATTTTAAATAGCTCTCCATAGAAGTGATGTTAATTGCTTTAAAATGGCCTTCTTTTGCTGTAAATGAGGGACATAATCAAGTCTGAATTTAGAGCTGGTAAGGCTGGATTAGGGGAGGGTAGGCAGGGACCAGCTAGGAGGTTGCTGCAATCGTACAGGAGAAACCACCTGGAATGGAACTGTGGGCCAGAACCACTGGACCAAGGCAGTAGAAGATGGAGCCCTGAATTCAAGGAACTTGCCAGACTTAGAACTGACAGGACACAGACACAGTTGGATATGGAGGTGATGAAACAAAGATCTCTGACAGGGGCGAGTGGGAAGCTGCATTTAGAAACAAAAGCAGTCCAACGGGCTGGCCACAGTGGCTCACGCCTGTAATCCCAGCACTTTGGGTGGCCAAGGCAGGATGATCGCTTGCGCCCAGGTGTTCAAGACAAGCCAGGGCAAAAAAGGCGATACCCTGTGTCTATAAAACATATAAAATTTAGCCAGATGTGGTGGTGTGGTGCCTGTGGTCACAGCCACATAGGAGACCGAGACTGGAGGATCACCTGAGCCAGGGAGGTCAAAGGTGTAGTGAGCAGTGGTCATGCCACTGCACTGAGCCCGGGCAACAAAGCAAAACACTGTCAAAAAAAGAAGAAGAAGAAGAAGGAATCTCTCAGATTTCAGAAGCCTCTATTTCCCAGCAGGAGAGATATTCATTATGATGATGAAACTCTCAATTTGTTTCATTCTCCTATGTTAGGTGAATGACCATTCTGAAAAAGGTAAAGCATACACATTAAGAGGGAATTTCCATTCATGGGCTGAGCATGGTGGCTCATGCCTGCAGTCCCAGCACTTTGGGAAGCCGAGGCAGGTGGATCACTTGAGGTCAGGGGTTCAAGACCAGCCTGGTCAACATGGTGAAACCCCATCTCTACAAAAAAATAGAAAAAATTAGCCAGGTGTGGTGGTGCAGGCCTGTGATCCCAGCTACCCAAGAGGCTGAGGCAGGAGAATGGCTTGAACTCAGGAGTTGCAGGTTGCAGTGAGCCAAGATCATACCACTGTACTCCAGCCTGTGCACAGAGTACAAAAAAAAAAAAAAAAATGTATATATATATATATATATATATATATATGTGTGTGTGTGTGTGTGTGTGTGTGTGTGTGTGTGTGTATGTATATGTATATATATATGTATGTATATGAAATGAAATCTGCCAGCTAACCAGGCTGGCTCACTCTTAAATATGAAAAGACAAAGATCATCAGACATTTGAAAAATGACCTTAGCATGAAAAAGAGACAAGGATAAATGGTAGTGGTGGTCAGGGCAGTGCTCCATAAGAAAGAAAAGTAATTTAGGAAACATAAGACAAAAGGACATTTTTAACATTTCATTGGCATTCTCAGATAGATTGGAGACGTGTTACATCCCTAAACAAGGGCAGGATGCTAGGAAAAGGAGCAATCAGAGAATAAGTGTGAACTAGTGGAAATTCAAGATAGGATCACAGAAATAAAAAAGTCATTAGAAGGTGTTGGAAGGTAAGAGAATTAGTTTTATATCTAAATAATAGTATATCTAGATCCTAAAAATTTCCTTAGAGATTAAACAAAAAAGGTTACCTCTGAAAATACAGGAATCAGACTGGCCTCTAAATTCCTACCGGCAAAGGCGAGAACTATGCCTTCAATATCCGATGACCAAAGCAATTTTCAACCAAGAATCCTATATCCGTATCTGCCCAAACTACCATTCAAGTGTGAGCATGGAGCAATGAGAGTTTCAGACATGAGGGACTCAGAAAACCACACACCCCTGGAGAAATTAAAGATGGCGTGCAGCAAAATGAGAGCATAAACAAAGAAGAAACGAGTAGAAGAAAGGAAGAGAAGGAGGAAGGGAGGAAGGATTGCTGCCAGGCCCAGGGCATCAGTGAAAGGAAGAAGCCCCAGGCCAGCACGTATGTGGCGGAGGGTGGAGGGCTCTGTGTAACAGGTCCTGAGAAATAAGGCACCTCTACTCATTTGCTGGAAAGGTGGAAGCAGACTTGAGAAAATGACAAGGGCATTATTAAAGAATGAGCCTGGCATGGTGGCACACGTCTGTAATCCCAGCTATTTAGGAAGATGGCGTGAGTCCAGCCTGGGCGACACAATGAGACCCTGTCTAAAAAAGAGAGAGAGACAGAGAGAAGGGAAGGGAAAGAAGAAAGAAGAAAGGCAATTTGAAACTCTTACGAAAAACTGGAAGAAATAAAAGGAAGAAAATTCATCATAGGACATTGTGTGGCTCTGTAATAAACAATATTTACATTGTCACAAAATGTAAACACTATTTATTGGATTTAAATGATTAGAAACAACCTATAAGCAAAGCAGAGAAGACCTAATTATGGTTAGAAAATTAGAACGTAAATGTTGTTAACACTGAACATTTAAAGTAAATGTGCTGGGTGTGGTGGCTCATGCCTATAATCCCAGCACTTTGAGATTAGGTGGGCATTAGATGCTCACTCTGTCTAGGTGGGCAGATCGCTTGAGGTCAGGAGTTCCAGACCAGCTTGGTCAACATGGCGATACCCTAAATCTACTAAAAATACAAAAGTTATCTGGGCGTGGTTGTGCATGCTTGCAATCCCAGCTAGTTGGGAGGCTGAGGCAGGAGGATCTCTTGAACCCAGGAGGTGGAGGTTGCAGCAAGCTGACACCACAGCACTCCAGCCTGGGTGACAGAGTGAGACTCTGTCTCAAAAAAAAAAAATAATAATAATAATGTTCAGAAGACAGAATTTGGGAAGGGCAGCCTAAAGGGAAAGGTAGGAGTGATGATACCTTTATCCTATGAAACAGTGAGTCAAAACTACTGTCAACAGCTAGTGGGATGAAAAATAAAGATGTAGTCACTTAAGGCAACAAAGATAATTGGCAGATTTATTTTTACTTTATTTAGAGGAATTAAGTAAGAATAATTATATAACCATCCTGAGAGTAGGATGGGGGAGGGTTGTTTGGATTAGAGATGATCATTTTTGATAATTATAAATTATTACAATTTATATAAATCCTCATTTTTGATAGTTATAAATTATTATTATTATTATTATTTGTGTGTGAGACAGGGTCTGGCTCTGTCACCCAGGCTGCAACCTCTGCTTCCTGGGTCCAAGCGATTCTCCTGTCTCAGCCTCCCAAGTAGCTGGGATTACAGGCACATGCCACCATGCCAATCTAATTTTTTGTATGTTAGTAGAGATGGGGTTTCACCATATTGCTCTGGCTTGTCTCAAACTCCTGAGCAGGCAATCCACCTGCCTTGGCTTCCCAAAGTGCTAGGATTATAGGTGTGAACCACCAAGCCCAGCGTCATTTTTGATACTTATATATTCATAGAGGATGTTTAAACTTGAAAAACTAAGGAACAGTGGCATTAGCATATTATTTAGAGATATGGAAGTTACTCCCAGAATAAAGAGCTAAAAAAGTTAGAAGCAGTTGCCTCTGGGGAGCAGGACTAGAGGTGGGAGGGATGAGGAAGGGGACTTATCACTCTAAGCTCTTCTGTTATAGTTTATTTTTAACCATGTGCATGAATTACTTTGATATAAAAAAATTTAAGTCTGTCAGAGACAGATGAGAAGGTGGAGGGTGAGAGTTTTTGTGGCCGTAGATGAGTTCTGGGGTCCTATTCAGGTGAGACACCAGAGTCGTGAAATCTCTTGCAGGCAGGACTGAAAAACAACCTAGATACATGAGGATGCTGGAGATGGGAAAATGTTCTCATTTTTACAAAGAGACAGAAGATATTTCTGGAAAATATAGACCAAACGGCTCGATATAGAATCCTGGCAGCATTCTAGCACAGATTATTAAACAGATGGCTTGGGAGTGCTTTGTGACTTTTTATTTATTTATT